AGATGTCTCAACCGAACCCAGAGCTTCTTTGCAGAAAACAAAGTGCTCTGTACATGAGAAAACACTGGAGTTTTACTGTTTCGATGACGCCCTATGTGTCTGTGCAGACTGCTGCTTCAGTGGAAGACATGGGGGGCACCAGGTGGAGTTACTGAATGAAGCCTTTGAGCTAAAAAGAGAGGCAATGAAAGGTTTCCTGCAGGTCTTGACGGCTAAGAAAGCAGAAACTGTGAAAACTGTCCAAAGTTTACATGAGTCTGTGACAGAGACACAAGAAAAAGTTTCTGGCGAGACGGAGAGAGCTACTGCTTTGTTCAGACACATCAGGGGACAGTTGGAACACCTAGAGAAGAAAGTTCTTGATGACCTCTTCTGCCAAGGAGAGCAGGCAGTACTTTTGGTCTCTGATTTGATCCAGCAACATGAGATGGAAACAGAGAAGCTTACACAGAAGATACAAGACTTAGAAATGGCGGTGAAGGTCACTGAGCCTCTGGCCTTCTTGCAAGCTAAGCTCAGTGATGACAACTCAGTAGAGGATATAAAGAAGGAAGTAAACACTCGACCAAATCTGGTCATAGTAGGCCTGGTTCCAGAGACATTACACGCATGGTTAGAAGATATAATGGCTGATGCAAAGAAAATGCTTTCTTTGAAGGAACAGCCAGGAGAATTGAAGGACAACAGACAAGTGTATGGAGAAGCAACAGAGAAGTGCAAAGAGTCCGCAGCATTACCTTATGGGTCTTTGGGTGGAACACCAGAAAACGTGACGCTTTACCACAGTGCCAATATGGAGAAGAAGAGCCAGCAGTCTGATTATAAGCAACTGCAACAGAAAGATATGGTTCCTCCAGCTTCTGTGGCACAAGGGCCACATCTCTTCTTCAGAAATCCATATTCTTTTGTCAGCAAGGAACAACAAGAATGGTTCAACGAGATTCCAGATGTCACCCTCCCCAGTTGGCAGAGTTAACTGTAAAACAAGGAAATAATAAAAGGACCTTATGTCTGAGGTAAGAACCCTCCTGGCCAACCACAACCAGTTATAGTCTGTTATTCCCTACAGACAAGGAAGGGAGAATCTAACTGGTTGGTGTGGGCAGTCACAGACAGTTCTTGCTTCAGACACTTTGATACATGCTGGCCAAGATTTTTTGCATGCGTCAAGCAGGCGTTCCTGGTTTGAAATGAATATAGTGAAAACAGGCATAAAACAGTGAGAGCCGTGTGTATCAAAGTGTTCCTACCAAGAATGAGCATGGTGTGAGATTTTGAATTTAATGGTAAAGAAATCCTGATCTTAGAACACCTTGATACATAGAGTGTTGGGTATAGCTCATGGTGAGCCACTGTCTACCCTATATGCTAACAGTATTAACTATTACACAGCGTTATATATTGTAGTTTACTGTTGTAACACTTCTGGAATTTGTTGTTTAGACATTTGCTTTTAAAAGGAAAGGAAAAGTTCAGCTTCTTTGACATTCCATGTATAATGCATCATTTAGACAATGTCTTCGGTGCTGTAGCTATAATAATAAAGTTCCCCCCCATAAAATACTGTTTTCTCATTTCTTTTCATCTCAGGGCTGCTGATCTCTTACAGTCTCTTTCACCCACTTCCTGTCTACATACACCTACTCCAGCACCGGCTGCATATTATTGCTTCCTTATAGTGACAATGTTGGACCACGATAATGCAATGTGTGCTGGCATGGCTGCTTGTACTTACTAGTTGTCACATTATAACAAGAAGTGCCTGAACAAGGACCTTCATGGCAAGATCACCAGGTATCATTTCAAATGAATCAAAACAACTTTTAAAATGATATTCATCTGTTTCAGTTTAAAAAAAAAAAATCATAATAAAATTATAAAAAGCAGCTTTTGATGCAATGCTCACCTTTAATTGGCATCTGTTCAAGGGATGCACCGATACCGGTATTTCGGTATCGAGTATGAATACCGATATTTTTTTTTCCCGTACTCACCAATACCGAATACCAAGTACCGGAAGTCCCATTCAGAAAGCCAGGCGGCGTGTAATGACTCTCCACCTGGGTTCCTGATTAGCCGGGAAGAGTGTAATGACTTGCCACCCGGCTTCCCGATTAGCAGGAAAGCCGTCCCCATGCTTCTCGTCACTAGGTGATGAGAAAGCATGGAGCCGCTTTCCGGCTTCATGCTCCCTCGTCATGATAGTGCCATGGTAATAGGTGGGAAAAAAATGCACGTTAAAGGCTTTCGTTGGTGGCAATATGGCCCTTTAAACACACTCCTGGCTTCTATAGCATGTATACTATGTTTCAAATGAACAAGCTGTTGGTTTTCTGGTAGAAGTGATTCGGGTGGCTGTAAAACCACCTAATCATATCTACACCCCTCCCTCAAAGGTGCCACTGCCCACCTGACCACCCTTGTCTAATCCCCGCTTACCCTCCTGTGGGCCCGAGACTGGCATGGCGGGGTGTTGCTAGGTGAGTGAGTAAGGCCCCATTCACACCTGACCGTTTTGTAGCGCGTCCTACGCTCGATGAACGCTCTACAAAACGGTCAAAAAAATAAATAGCATTGTAGTCAATGGTATCGTTCCCACCTGTCCGTATTTCCGCCCGTCCCGAACGCACTACAAAATGGCCCACGCATGAAAAGGTCCCGGAGCGTTTTTTGCTGCGTATTGGTCCGTTTTGTAGGGCGTTTTCCATTTGTATACTGCCAAGTAGCCTTTGGAATCGCGCGACGGTCGCGCGACTTTTTTACCGCGAATCGCGGTAAAAAACGCGTGACGGTCGCGCATATTACAATACGCATAGGTGTGAATGGGGCCTAAAGCTGGGAGTACCAAGGGTTTTATCACTTCCAGTTTCTGGGCTGTCATTATCCGGCCGCTGTAGCCAGGAAAGAAGCTGATCAACTACAAGTACGTAGCCCTCTGAGATAGCAAAAAAGTGTAAAAAAATAAAATTGAAAGTTAAATAATGTTTTTTTTAAAGCCTTCCACGTACACACACATACAAACAAACAGGTGTGCCTACATATGAAAATGGAAATTGTGCCACACATGTTCGGTATTGTTGCGTGTGAGCAATAATTCTTGGGCCGTAGTTTACTTTTAACTGTAAACTGATTACCTGTAGAGGCTTTTAAAACATCGCCTGGACAATTCTGGGTGCCAAAGTTTGTCGACGTTTTACAGACATGCAGGTTGACATGTTTGGCATCTATTTGACAACCTCCATGAGATCCTGGAAAACTTTATATTTTACCAAAAAATTGCTGATCTATTGTGTTTGTGTGCACTAAAATTAGCTTTAGTGTATTTTTTACTGAAAATTTGGGCTAATATAATGCGACATAGAAAATTGCAAGTATTTGGCTTATGACACCAAGCCAAGGCACCAGATCTCCCAATGGAGCATCGCTGAAGCTTGTTTAGGTAATCTTCAGTCCTAAAATGTGCATTAATGTGTGTGCAAAAAAAACTATTATCTGGCAGGGAAAGGTTTAATAGCACTAATTATTAAAGCTGTAACCTTTGCCCTCTTCAGTTTGAATTTGTTATGGTTTGGGTTGATGTTAGTATGTTAATCATTTACGCTCAGGCTTCTCAACAGTCAAGAGAGGCAAAGGTTAGAAAAGATCTGCAAAGTTGATGATTCTCCAGGACAATGAATGCTGCACCTCTGTGAGTGTTCCAATGCTACAGAGCAGAGTTCCCCACTCAGCTCCATTCCCCTTTCTTATAACAGCCGTCCTCCCCCAAGTCTCCCCGAATTTATTTCAATGACATCTTTTTCCAGGATCATTTCTTGGTAAATATAAGTTATTTTATCACAAAGTTGCCGTACATTTTCCACACATTTGTGTGTCCTTTTCTAGTCCCGCTCTCTGCTTGTCATTTCTCAGCACAGCTCCAGTGTTATGAGATAAATATTAGCTGAGCATTCTAGGCCGTAATTGATCTCCTCTTCAAAATCAAACAAGAGATCCATTCTTTATTTTCAAACACATCATCACATGTTTCAACACACGCATGTGCTCATATTAAACACAAATAAATCTTACAGTAAGTTCCCTGAAGATCTGAAATGTAAAGTGAAAACAGTGCATATTTTTATATATTGAGAATACTGTTCAAGACTTCTATGAATACAAAGGCAAATAAGAGACAACAATCTAATCATTAAGGCTTATTTAACCTAAAACTGATATGCCAGTTTGACTCCAGCCAATTTTTTATAAAAACTGGAATAGAGTGGAACCCTTGTCAGACTTAATTGCTCTCTGTGTCCCCATTGTGAAGATTTACCTCCCCTTCCCCATTGACACTTGTCATCAAGATAGATGTGGGTAAGTGGCTCCTCCAAGGGGGCCACAGATGAAAGAATATATGTAAACCCAAGAGCAAAAATGTAATATATTGCAGCTTACCAGTACTGAGATGTGGCGGCTGCATTGGTTTTCTTTTTATAACCTGGAGATCTTTGCAAGTGAAACACTTCCTGTCTAAGGGTGACAACTCACTGCACTCTATGGAGGAGGAGCAGCATTGTCACCCTAAGACAGGACTACAGAACACCTCGCCCTACTCTGCTTCATTGTTAGTCCAACACGAAGGAACTGGGCAGGGCAGCTAAGAGTGCTAAAGGTTTCAATGTAGCACTGGCAGTTAGGAGCTTATTGTAATTCTGACAGGATCAACAGATTTTGTTTTCACTTAACAGATAAATATGCCATTGAAAGTGTTTTAACAAACCAAAAAGGGAGAAAATAAGAAAAGTTCATTGTTGAAGTTTACAAATACTCAAAAACATGACAGACGTTCTAAACTTTCCCACCAATTGGAGATTTCCACTTCCTTCATCTACTCTTGACACTTGTCTTCATGACAGAAAGTGAAGGGAAATCTCCACAACAGGGGAAGAAGGTAGTCACCCGCACGCACACCCAGGTCCAACATATCAATGCGTCTTTATTGGACATCAGATAGAATGCTATCACATGTACATATACATGTCATACCATGTATATCTGACATTACATAAAGACGTATCCATATATTGGCCCTTGGTGTGCAGGTGACTACCTTCTTCACGTTTGGATATGTGCAGCGCCATCCGCAGCTCATTCCAGCACCCATCTGAGTACTCTATTGGGACTCCAATCTAGAGTGCAATGGGATACATGCGATCTCCACAACAGGGACACAGATAGCAATATAAACTTGGCGGAGGGGTTTAGCCCTTTCTTAAACTATGCAGAACAAAAACAAAAGTGCAAATCAGAGGCCAGTTTTGTGCAGAAAGGCCTCGTCTGTAGAAGACATCCAAATATTGGGTCCTAAATACATATAAAGTCATATAGTATGAGGATAGGAACAAGATATCACAACTTTACAAAAGAGAAAGATCTGCCTTTCCTTACTTCTGACATCTCACTGGCGAGGTTGGCGCTGCGCTTTATGATACAACAGAGTACAGACAGGCCACATAATGCTGCCATCACCGCCAGGAAGCCAGGGGTCACTTGGGAAATATCAAACACATCCCAAGTTAGGGAGACATAAATGGCCATCCCGAGGCTTAGTCCAATCAGGCAAAGCCAATTGAGTCCCAAGGCAAATGTCCAGAGGATTCTTTCGTCGAAACACTGAGCAAAAGTAATTGTCAAGATCCCCATGATGACGATGATCAACGAAGAGTAGGTCAAGATGATGGCCAAGACTAATCCATTTTGATTGGTTCTTCCGGTCAAACTCAGATCCTCGATTTGGGTAATACATTGACAGTCCTCAATAGTTTTGTTGTACAAGCAGTAATTATAAAAGCCGATTTTCTGACAACCACTGACAACCATGTCACCACTTCCAATAATTAGGGCATAAACGAGAAGGGAACAGATGAGACACTGCAGGAGGATGGTCATGTAACCCAAACAACGGTGGCTCAAAAACATCTTTCTTCCAAAGAAAGCACGATCTAGAAAGGGAAAATAAATAAATAAAAATGGAGGAAATATTATACCAGTGGAAAGGATTTTATGCTTTAAAGATTTTGGGCTCACAGTTTTCAGGCATTCTCCTTACTACCCTTTCTAAAAAAGAAAAAGAAAAGAAAAACAACAACATGTAAAAAGATGAGATTATGTAAAAAGTATGCCATGCCACCTGACTGACTAGCCTTGCCAGGACAGGTCTCATCTGTTCTCAACATCTAAAAGGCTAAAGCTATTAAAAGGAACATCATTAAAATCAAAAGTGATCATGTTGAATTGGGACAAATGAGCTGAATACAATTATAATCCCTTCAAAAACACCTCTGGTTTCATGAGTCATTCTGAAAGTTTAGTAGTCAGCCATTTATTAGTCAGGGTCATGAACTGGTGTCTGGCTAAAACCGGTTATGAAGTTACTGACTCTCCAGCCTCCTTGGCTCAGTTCCCCCTAAATAACAGAAAACACCAACTAACACAGAGCTTCTCGTCAAGAGATCTGAGAAATGGACAATTTACCTTTGTAAGTGTGAGTCATGTGATCTGGTATCAGCTTCATTTAACGTCTGGAGTCACCTTTGAGCCATGTTCTGTAGGGAGAGGGAAAGAAAACATATAAAAAAAGAATATATATTTTAAAAATACCATTATATATTAGGGATGCACCGATACCACTTTTTTAAGACCGAGTACGAGTACCGATACTTTTGATCAAGTACTCGCAGATACCAATTACCGATACTTTTTCTTAAAAGGGATATTTTTTACTTTGAGTGGCTTTCATAAACACTCAATATATTGCCCCTCTAGGAGGTCAGACACTGCCTGGTGCTCCAAACAGCTTGAAATCAGTAGCAACAGTGCAGGTCATGTGATCACTTTCAGCTGGCGGCATATAGGCAGAGCAAGCCAATTGAGGGTTCTGCCTAAACACAGTTCCTGGCCTTTGGCACATTATAATCCCCTACGGGGTCAGAAAATGATCAATGTTCAAAACTGGTCAGGTCATGTGATTTGTTTCATTGATTGGCATTCTGTGGTTTTACACAAAACACAGGTCCTGTCCAGCCTGGGAAATGAGAGCCACCAATCGAAATAAATTATATACCGTCTATATGAAAATTTATATTTTTAGATGAAGGTGCTTGCATCTAACCATTCGCACCTGAGCAATTTGTTGTGTGCTTCCCGAAGCGTGACAACGCTAAACGTGAAGATTCCTATTATATTCAATGGTGACCTTTCACACTGTGCTGTCCTGATGCTTGTAACAAAGTATGTGTGCTTTTTTTTTTTTTGGGGGGGGGGGGGGGGGCACAATTTTTGGCCCCATAGAGTTCAGTGGGAGCACCTGAGAACACAAGTGTTTTAGCAAATGTTTGTGAGTTTTTGCCCCCGACAACCATCCCCTTCTAGCAATGTCGGGCCTGTGAACAAAACAGAGGATTCAGGGGTGTCTGAATGTGGAGACTTTCATCTGCCTGGTGAGGGTCCACAAGAACCACTATGGCTAGGGTTGCCACCTTTTCTTTCAGCGAAACCAAAACAATCTAGCGAGGCACACATTTTTGTGGGGAGAATGAGTCACGGCTTATTTATATGTAAATAGCGCCGCCCAGTCATATGCAAGTATCACAGTCAAGACTATTTTCAGTGGGGGGCCAGTAGCCCCTATCTTAATTTTGGTTGCCCCTGTCTGCGTGACATGATGTCTGTGTGACATCATGTGTCGGGGTTTAGGCTGCCATGAAACCTGGACACAGCATTCAAAACCCAGACTGTCCGGGTTAATCCCAGGCAGGTGGCAACCCTAACTGTGGCACTGGTGATGTCCATTACAAGGACTGTGGCAAGCTGCAGAGAGCCTGGGAAGTAGCAATAGTACAAGACACCACAGAGAGAAACCAGGGCGCATACACAAGGATAACAAGGACATAGGACTTCGCAGATGATACAGCTTTTCATCAGCCGAAATAAAAAAGAATGGAATGTAATAGGGGAAAGAAATGAACAGAAATGCTGACGCTCAGTGTGAATGGAGGCCAAGTCTGTTGATTCCCTGGACATGACCTGCTAACCAGCTGGACTTGTACTTACAGAGCAGTGAACAAAGCCATCAGACATTGTGCAGGCCTTAGCCGCCTCACCTTACACTCAGCACCTTCTGCAGCCTCGGGCTCTGTTGGAAGTTGCTCTGGAATGAGTTTATCGGGTTTGTTTTTCTGCGGTCTGACTTCTATTCATAGGTCAGGGCTGTCAGGGGAAAATTGCTGTGACTGCAACTTTATACTTCACCAATGTGAACAGAGAGCTCGCACCATCCAGCGGAGACTGCCAGACAAGAATCTGTCATTGAACATTTAGCTCCAGTATTCTGCACCAGTGACAGGAAAGGCTGATACAACTATCCTCTTATAAATGGAATGGATCACAGTTTTCATGTGTTATAGAGGAGCATGCAGAACAGATCAGACTGATGCATTATTTGTAATCACATTTGTACATGGAAGAAGCCATGTCTGCTCATTACATATGCAGGTCCTGCTTCCTACTTAGTAGTGCTGCACAGTGTCGTCACTTCTTTCTCTCAGTGCAAGGCCGACCTGACATGACTAAACAGATGACTAATCCCCCACAACAATGAACTTCTTTCATTTGCTCCCTTTTGGCCTGTTACATACACCATTGAAAGTGTTTTGTTAGATCTGTTTAAGAAGTGCAAAAAATACCTTTTGATTCTGACAGAAATCTTGTGAGCTGATAACTTCCTGTGCTCTCTGCCACTGCTGCACTCTTACCAGTTACATTATTCTCAGCTCTTTCTGTGGACTACAGAACAGCTGCCCCTATGCTATGGAGATGAAGGTGTTCTGTAGTCCTAGTATAGTAAAGTGTAGCGAGTGAGCATTGTCACTAGGACAGAAGTGTGTTGCTGGCAGGATCAAATGCAGCCACTACATCGAAGGATTGGGAAGCTGAGATAGGTTACATTTTTGTCCATTTTTGTCCTTAGATTCAGACTGACAATATGGAAGCTGCCATTGTCAAAGCATTTTGGAAGGGTCACTTTCCAAGACTTGTTATTGTTTCTTCACTACATGAGGAGTCATTTTGCCTGGAACAAGCCTGTGTGTATTTGACCTTCCAACACCCGATATCAGACATCCCAACTCTCTTGGATGTTCCCGGAGTCTCCCGCTATTAGATAGCGGCTCCCGGCCGCCCGGGAGAGAAACATTTTCTACCGGAAAGGTTTACTCCGCACGATCTAGCGGAGTAAACCTTTACATGCTGGGTTTTTTTTTCTGACATCGGGGCCGCCGTCAGTCAGAAAACAATAAAGAAAAAACGGCGTAGGAATGAATAGCTAGATTGCTATTGGCTATTGCAAATTCAAAAAGCCAATCAGCAGAGGTGGACCTAAAGTTCTCCATCAGGTCCTCCTGCTGACTGACAGCAGCAGTGGGCGGGTGCAATAGCCAGCTTGCTATTGCAAATTGAAATAGCCAATAGCAATCTAGCTATTCACTCCTACGCTTGTTTTTTTAAAAATTATTCTGACAGTAGCTGTCAGAATACAAAAAAAACCAGCAGATAGCAAGGGAAGCAATAGCTTCTTTGCTATCTGCCATCATTTCAGGGGGGTGTTCTCTTCCTTGTTCTCGCATTAACCCCCCCCCCCTCCCCCCCCCAGCACTCCAGCTGTGGTGGAACTAAAAACTCCTATGCTGCATTGCAAGACAATTTTCACCACAAAGTGCTGAGGTTGCCAACCCCTGCTCTAGATCAAACACTCACCAGTTAGTGAAGCATAGAGATGGCAGCCCTGGAATCTGAACCTTGGAAAATAAGCAAGCTTTCATGTGTCCTAAAATTCCTCTTTGAGCAGGGTGCCAATCACATTCTCTGATATACAGGTGACCACCAGAGGGAGCCACCACAAAGATGTGTAAAACAAATTCAAATTAAAAATATGCGACAGTGGGGGGCGTGGTCGGGATGTGAGGCTCGAAATGTTAAAGTCAATTGAACCGACTTTGAAGTGAAGGTCCCAACAGTAAATCAAAATGTGCACTTATTAAAGTTTTCTTATAAAGCGGACCTTGCAGCCACCGTCCGCTAAATCTGGCAGTCCCCCATCCATTGCTATCCAAATAATGGATTATAGAAATAATACAAACAAAACAAACAAAAAAAATGTACCTTACGCCCTCTGCCAGGGAAATCAAAAGGGTCTTCTTGAAGGATCCTGGGAATGTTGAGGATCCCAAATCCAACAAGAACACATCCCTGTACAGTACTGCAGCATCCTTAAGAATAGGGATCCTGAGCTTTATCAACATCCCTCTGTGGGGACCCAGTGATGTCAGTAACAGGAACCTGGGAACAAGGTGGTTGGGGGGCAACCCCACATTTTAATGTTATTGACTGCAAATGGCAGAATGAACAGTGCCTAAAGAATCTTCTGCATTCAGCACTTCTGGGGGTATTGGAGGCCTGGCCCCCATGTGCGGTTTCTCCTACTGACCCCCCAAGTAGGGTTGCCACCTATCCAGGATTCCCCCGGACAGTCCGGATTTTGAATGCTGTGTCCAGGTTTCATGGCAACAGAAACCCGGACACAAGATGTCAGGCAGACAGGGGCAACCAAAATTAAGATAGGGGCTACTGCTCCCCCCCACTAAAAATAGTCTCAACTGTGACATTTACATATGAATGGGTGGCGCTATTTATATGTATACAAAATGTCTGTGCGTCGCTAGAGTGTTCGGGTTTCCCTTGAAGAAAAGGTGGCAACCCTACCCCCAGGTCTCTACAGGACACAGTGGTGATATTAAGGTGGTGGAAGGAGCTGCAGTGGGTGGACCAGACCTCCAACACACATGGAAGTTTTGGATACCAGATTCTTTGGCAGTAAAAATTATCAGCCTCTGAACTGTGTCACCCTTCTGCCGTGATTCAGTGTAGTTGTAATCTGCGC